TCTGTACCTATTACCAAGCCAGCAAGGGCGTGGGAGGGTTGTGAGCATCATCGGTCATCGGCGCTCGCGAATGAAGAGCGCCCGCTGCACTTCCTGCAAATGTGCGGATCCTTCCGCGTTTTGGGGATGGAAGCGCTCATTCCGAGCGTTTTTCTTCCGCTGGGTCACGTGGCTACGCTTGTTTGGCCCTATTACCAAGCCAGCAAGGGCGTGGGAGGGTTGCGAGCATCATCGGTCATCAGCGCTCGCGAATGAAGAGCGCCCGTTGCACTTCCTGCACATGTGCGGATCCTTCCGCGTTTTGGGGTGGAAGCGCTCGTTTCGAGCGTTTTTCTTCAGCCGGGTCACGTGGCTGCGCTTGTCTGGGCCAATTACCAAGCCAGCAAGGGCGTGGGAGGGTTGCGAGCATCATTGGTCATCGGCGCTCGTGAATGAAGAGCGCCCACTGCACTTCGTGCGCATGTGCGGATCCTGCGCGTTTTGGGGGTGGAAGCGCTCGTTCCGAGCGTTTTTCTTCCGCCGGGTCACGTGGCTGCGCTTGTCTGGGCTATTACCTAGCCAGCAAGGGCATGGGAGGGTTGCGAGCATCATCGGTCATCGACGATCGCGAATGAAGAGCGACCACTGCACTTCCTGCACATGTGCGGATTCTTCCGCGTTTTGGGGGTGGAAGCGCTCGTTCTGAGCGTTTTTCTTCTGCCAGGTCACGTGGCTGCGCTTCTCTGTGCCTATTACCAAGCCAGCAAGGGCGTGGGAGGGTTGCGAGCATCATCGGTCATCGGCGCTCGCAAATGAAAAGCGCCCGCTGCACTTCCTGCACATGTGCGGATCCTTACGTGTTTTGGGGGTGGAAGTGCTCGTTCCGAGCGTTTTTCTTCCGCCGGGTCACATGGCTGCGCTTTTCTGGGCATATTACCAAGCCAGCAAGGGCGTGGGAGGGTTGCAAGCATCATCGGTCATCGACCCTCGCAAATGAAGATCGCCCGCTGCACTTCCTGCACATGTGCGGCTCCTTCCGCGTTTTGGGGGTGGAAGCACTCGTTACGAGCGTTTTTATTCTGCCGGGCCACATGGCTGCGCTTTTTTGGGCCTATTACTAAGCCAGCAAGGGCGTGGGAGAGTTGTGTGCATCATCGATCATCGGCGCTCGCGAATGAAGAGCGCCCGCTGCACTTCCTGCACATGTGCGGATCCTTCCCCGGGTTTGGGGGTAAAAGAGCTCGTTCCGAGCGTTTTTCTTCCGCTGGGTCACGTGGCTGCGCTTGTCTGTACCTATTACCAAGCCAGCAAGGGCGTGGGAGGGTTGTGAGCATCATCGGTCATCGGCGCTCGCGAATGAAGAGCGCCCGCTGCACTTCCTGCACATGTGCGGATCCTTCCGCGTTTTGGGGATGGAAGCGCTCGTTTCGAGCGTTTTTCTTCAGCCGGGTCACGTGGCTGCGCTTGTCTGGGCCAATTACCAAGCCAGCAAGGGCGTGGGAGGGTTGCGAGCATCATTGGTCATCGGCGCTCGCGAATGAAGAGCGCCCACTGCACTTCGTGCGCATGTGCGGATCCTGCGCGTTTTGGGGGTGGAAGCGCTCGTTCCGAGCGTTTTTCTTCCGCCGGGTCACGTGGCTGCGCTTGTCTGGGCTATTACCTAGCCAGCAAGGGCATGGGAGGGTTGCGAGCATCATCTGTCATCGACGATCGCGAATGAAGAGCGACCACTGCACTTCCTGCACATTTGCGGATCCTTCCGCGTTTTGGGGGTGGAAGCGCTCGTTCTGAGCGTTTTTCTTCCACCAGGTCACGTGGCTGCGCTTCTCTGTGCCTATTACCAAGCCAGCAAGGGCGTGGGAGGGTTGCGAGCATCATCGGTCATCGGCGCTCGCAAATGAAGAGCGCCCGCTTCACTTCCTACACATGTGCGGATCCTTACGCGTTTTGGGGGTGGAAGTGCTCGTTCCGAGCGTTTTTCTTCCGCCGGGTCACATGGCTGCGCTTTTCTGGGCATATTACCAAGCCAGCAAGGGCGTGGGAGGGTTGGAAGCATCATCGGTCATCGACCCTCGCAAATGAAGATCGCCCGCTGCACTTCCTGCACATGTGCGGATCCTTCCGCGTTTTGTGGGTGGAAGCACTCGTTCGGAGCGTTTTTCTTCCGCCGGGTCATGAGGTTGCGCTTGTTCGGGCCTATTACCAAGCCAGCAAGGGCGTGGGAGGGTTGCGAGCATCATCGGTCATCGGCGCTCGCGAATGAAGAGCGCCCGCTACACTTCCTGCACATGTGCGTTTTGGGGCTGGAAGAGCTCGTTTCGAGCGTTTTTCTTCCGCCGGGTCACGTGGCTGCGCTTGTCTGGGCCTATTACCAAGCCAGCAAGGGCGTGGGAGGGTTGTGAGCATCATCGGTCATCGGCGTTCGCGAATGAAGAGCGTCCGCTGCACTTCCTCCACACGTGCGGATCCTTCCGCGTTTTGGGGCTGGAAAAACTCGTTCCGAGCGTTTTTCCTCCGCCGGGTCACGTGGCTGCGCTTGTCTGGGCCTATTACCAAGCCAGCAAGGGCGTAGGGAGGGTTGCGAGCATCATCGGTCATCGGCACTCGCGAATGAAAAGTGCCCGCTGCACTTCCTGCACATGTGCAGATTCTTCCGGGTTTTGGGGGTGGAAGCGCTCGTTCCGAGCATTTCTTCCACCGGGTCACGTGGCTGCACTTGTGTGGCCCTATTACCAAGCCAGCAATGGGTTGGGAGGGTGCGAGCATCATCGGTCATCGACGCTCGCGAATGAAGAGGGCTTGCTGCACTTCCTGCACATGTGCGGTTCCTTCCGCGTTTTGGGGGTGGAAGCGCTCGTTCCGAGCGGTTTTCTTCCGCCGGGTCACATGGCTGTGCTTGTCCGGGCCTATTACTAATTGAGCAAGGGCATGAGAGGGTTGCGAGTATCATCGGTCATCGGCGCTCGCGAATGAAGAGCGCCCACTGCACTTCCTGCACATGTGCGGATCCTTCCGCGTTTTTGGGGTGAAAGCGCTCGTTCCGAGCATTTTTCTTCCGCCGGGTCACGTGGCTGCGCTTCTCGGGGCCTATTACCAAGTTAGCAAAGGCGTGGGAGGGTTGCAAGCATCATCAGTCATCGACGCTCGCGAATGAAGAGCGCCCGCTGCACTTCCTGCACATGTGCGGTTCCTTCCGCGTTTTGGGGCTGGAAGCACTCGTTCCGAGCGTTTTTCTTCCGCCGGGTCACGTGGCTGCGCTTGTCTGGGCCTATTACGAAGCTAGCAAGGGCGTGGGAGGGTTGCGAGCGTCATCGGTCATCGGCGCTCGCGAATGAAGAGCGCCCGCTGCACTTCCTGCACATGTGCGGATCCTTCCGCGTTTTGGGGGTGGAAGCGCTCGTTCGAGCGTTTTTCTTTCGTCGGGTCACGTGGCTGCGCTTGTCTGGGCCTATTACCATGTCAGCAAGGGCGTGGGAGGGTTGCAAGCATCATCGGTCATCGGCACTCGCGAATGAAGAGCGTCCGCTGCACTTCCTGCGCATGTGCGGATCCTTCCGAGTTTTGGGGGTGGAAACGCTCGTTCCGAGTGTTTTCCTTCCACCGGGTCACGTGGCTGCGCTTGTCGGGGCCTATTACCAAGCCAGCATGGGCGTGGGAGGATTGCGAGCATGATCGGTCATCGGCGCTCGCGAATGAAGAGCTCCCACTGCACTTCCTGCACATGTGCGGATCCTTCCGCGTTTTGGGGGTGGAAACGCTCGTTCCGAGTGTTTTCCTTCCGCCGGGTCACGTGGCTGCGCTTGTCGGGGCCTATTACCAAGCCAGCAAGGGCGTGGGAGGATTGCGAGCATGATCGGTCATCTGCGCTCGCGAATGAAGAGCGCACGCTGCACTTCCTGCACATGTGCGGATCCTTCCGCGTTTTGGCGGTGGAAACGCTCGTTCTGAGCGTTTTTCTTCCGCCGGGTCACGTGGACGCGCGCGTCTGGGCCTATTACCGAGCCAACAAGTGTGTGGAAGGGTGGCGAGCATCATCAGTCATCAGTATTCGCGATTGAAGAGCGCCCGCTGCATTTCCTGCACATGTGCGGATCCTTCCGCGTTTTGGGGCTGGAAGTGCTCGTTCCTAGCGTTTTTTTCTTCCGCAGGGTAGCAGCTGGGAAGTAGCAGTTTGCATCTACCTTTGTTACATCAGTAAAGTACACTTTCCTACGAAACCCGGTTTTCAAGTTCTGAATTTGGCATGCGCCTGTGAAAATCAGGCCAGAATTTGAGCTACTCCTGACTCCCGAGTTTTGGTCCCAAGGACTTCGACAGGCCTGGTCCTGAACCTACAACTCATCGTGCACAGTGATTACATTTCCTTGATGGCCTTTGATTTCTTACCAGTATATTGTAGTACTTCATTTCTTGATATAACACTTTGGAAGACACAATCTACGGTACCGATACTGTGCTGTAAGATGAAGATATGAAATGTTCGGAATGCTGCTCTGTAAACTCCTTGACGTCAAGGCTCTTCTCTGCAGGGCAAAACATAGACTTGCCACAGAAAATACTTTTCCTTCAGGTCTTGCCATTTACATCTTAACAATTGTATTTCATGCCTTTTGATTTTTACGCAAGCTCTTCCCTCCCGGAAATACTCTACACTACACACACATTGTGCCACTAGCAACCCATAGTGCAGTTGGCAATGTGCCCTCACCTCACCACCATCACTTGGCAGATGCCTCCGCAGGCAGAATCCCTTGGGGCAGGTTGGTGCTGAGTGCAGCAAGCCTGCCGGCCTGTGTACGTGCAGCTAAGTGTTTGCCAGCCCTTTGCGTGGGGTGGCTGTAAGGGAAAAGCTCAAATGGCTCGTTCTCCGGCACGGCTGATGTGTCTGCCATGATGCGCAGCAGTTCCTGTTGAGAGGGGCAGTCACACGGGGCCACCATACGACAGAATTTACCCGTTGGGAGCTGCTTCCCAACGAGGGTCAAAACTCACAACAGTCACATTTGCATGGATCCAGGCAGCTAGAATGAGAGTCCTTCCTGAGTGAGCAAAGGTGGGTCGGAAGTTCCTGTCCCAGCCACATCGACTGGCCAGCATGTGGCCATTCCACTTGCCTTCAAGTGGAGCCCCCATGCGTGCCACTGCACGACCCACATGGCATCTGCAGAGGGCATCTTCTCAGCTATCTCCCATGTCAACGCTCTCCAGCCCATAGCAACCTGCCTCTACACAAGTCATGTGCCCATGAACTCATGCACCCATGCGCTCATGCACCATGCACCCATGCGCTCATGCACCATGAACCCATGGGCTCATGCACTATGCACCCATGCGCTCAAACACCCTTGCACCCATGCGCTCATGCACCCATGCAGCCATGTGCCCATGCACCCATGCGCCCATGCACCCATGCACCAATGCGCCATGCACCCAAGCACCAAGCATGCACAATGCACCCAGGCGACCATGCGGGCATGGAGGGGGCGGGCGCTGACCTGGCGGTCGACGGCGTCGTGCGTGCAGAGGGCGTCCACCACGGCCTGCAGCGTGCGCCGGTTGCCAGCCAGCAGCGCGTGCGCGCGCTCAAACGCCGCATCGTGCAGCTGATGCCCGCGCAGGGAGGGACGGAGAACAGAAAGGTGGGAGGGAGGGTGTGGTCATTGTTCAGTTTCACCTACATATGATGGTGTGAATGTTCATTCACCAAACTAAACATGGTGTGGATCAATGTTGGTCCGTTTGTGGCTCTCCACCAAGCACCTACAACATGTGCCTCCAACCACTTCAATGCAGTCCACGTGAGTCCCCCACCACCCTCACTTCAATGCAGTCGTGAGTTCCCCACCAACCTCACCTGCTGCACCCTTTGCTTCAGCTCCGCCTCCTGCCTTCGCCCCAACGCCAGACTCTTGTGCTGCTAACACCGGGGTGGCAGGGCAGCACCACACCGCAGAGAAGGAATGGAGATTCGGGGAAGGGGGAACGCAGTGGAGAGCGCATGGAGAATTTTCTCAGCAGAGCAGCGGAAACAGAACGGTGGGTGGCACTCACAGCATGTTGGGTGGTAGTAACAGCATGGTGGGTGGTAGTAACAGCATGGTGGGTGGTAGTAACAGCATGGTGGGTGGTAGTAACAGCATGGTGGGTGGTAGTAACAGCATGGTGGGTGGTAGTAACAGCATGGTGGGTGGTAGTAACAGCATGGTGGGTGGTAGTAACAGCATGGTGGGTGGTAGTAACAGCATGGTGGGTGGTAGTACTGACCGCGGTGTGGGTTTGGAAGATGAAGGGAGAGTCGTCGGGCCCCCAGCCCCACTCCATGACCATGCGCTCCGCCACCTGATGCCACGCAGGTTTGGTAGGGTGGCAGGGAGGGCAGGCACACGGGGGGGAGAAGACAGGGCAGCACATGGGTAATCTACGTGCTACCTGTGCCACGTGCTGCATGTGCCACGTGCTACATGTGCCACGTGCTGGAGAGAGAGGGGCTCTTGATTGGTGGGACACATTTCGCTTTACCAAAGCAAACCCCACTCGGGCCACACCAATACCCACGTCACACTGCTACCCTTTCCCTATCTTATCAAGAAGCGCCCTTCCAGCCGTTGCCACTTCCCCCAACTCCCCCTCCCCCCCCCGTTGCCCTCCCGGCCCCCCACTCCCCCCAGCCCCCTGTACCTGGTAGGCCTGCTGCAGCTGCGGGGTGGCGAGGTTGTTGGAGTGCCCCCAGGGCAGCAGCAGCGCGGCGGCGATGTGCGACCCGAAGAGCGCCACGAGGCTCTGCTCCGTGTACGCTCGGCTCACCACGCCGCCGCCGCCCGCCTCCGCACTGCCGTCCGCCCCGCCCAGCGAGCCCTCGGCGGCACGCGTGAAGCGCGTGAACCCCACGCCCTGCCACCCCCACATGCATTCCGCACACGCCGTCACGGTTGCACAATTGGAAGGGGGGGGCGAGACTGATGGCTTCAAATGGCATGACAATGGCTTCAAATGGCATGACAATGGCTTCAAATGGCATGACAATGGCTTCAAATGGCATGACAATGGCTTCAAATGGCATGACAATGCATGATGGTGAGTGCATGCAGTGTCGTCGTTCTCTTCTCATTAGCCATGCACACTTCCCACCTGCTTGCCCCATGCACACTTCCCACCTGCTTGCCCCATGCACACCTCCCACCTGCTTGCCCCATGCACACTTCCCACCTGCTTGCCCCATGCACACTTCCCACCTGCTTGCCCCATGCACACTTCCCACCTGCTTGCCCCATGCACACTTCCCACCTGCTTGCCCCATGCACACTTCCCACCTGCTTGCCCCATGCACACTTCCCACCTGCTTGCCCCATGCACACTTCCCACCTGCTTGCCCCATGCACACCTCCCACCTGCTTGCCCCATGCACACTTCCCACCTGCTTGCCCCATGCACACTTCCCACCTGCTTGCCCCATGCACACCTCCCACCTGCTTGCCCCATGCACACTTCCCACCTGCTTGCCCCATGCACACTTCCCACCTGCTTGCCCCATGCACACTTCCCACCTGCTTGCCCCATGCACACTTCCCACCTGCTTGCCCCATGCACACTTCCCACCTGCTTGCCCCATGCACACTTCCCACCTGCTTGCCCCATGCACACTTCCCACCTGCTTGCCCCATGCACACTTCCCACCTGCTTGCCCCATGCACACTTCCCACCTGCTTGCCCCATGCACACTTCCCACCTGCTTGCCCCATGCACACTTCCCACCTGCTTGCCCCATGCACACTTCCCACCTGCTTGCCCCATGCACACTTCCCACCTGCTTGCCCCATGCACACTTCCCACCTGCTTGCCCCATGCACACTTCCCACCTGCTTGCCCCATGCACACTTCCCACCTGCTTGCCCCATGCACACTTCCCACCTGCTCGCCCCATGCACACTTCCCACCTGCTTGCCCCATGCACACTTCCCACCTGCTTGCCCCATGCACACTTCCCACCTGCTTACCCCATGCACACTTCCCACCTGCTTGCCCCATGCACACTTCCCACCTGCTTGCCCCATGCACACTTCCCACCTGCTTACCCCATGCACACTTCCCACCTGCTTGCCCCATGCACACTTCCCACCTGCTTGCCCCATGCACACTTCCCACCTGCTCGCCCCATGCACACTTCCCACCTGCTTGCCCCATGCACACTTCCCACCTGCTCGCCCCATGCACACTTCCCACCTGCTTGCCCCATGCACACTTCCCACCTGCTTGCCCCATGCACACTTCCCACCTGCTTGCCCCATGCACACTTCCCACCTGCTTGCCCCATGCACACTTCCCACCTGCTTGCCCCATGCACACTTCCCACCTGCTTGCCCCATGCACACTTCCCACCTGCTCGCCCCATGCACACTTCCCACCTGCTCGCCCCATGCACACTTCCCACCTGCTTGCCCCATGCACACTTCCCACCTGCTTGCCCCATGCACACTTCCCACCTGCTTGCCCCATGCACACTTCCCACCTGCTTGCCCCATGCACACTTCCCACCTGCTCGCCCCATGCACACTTCCCACCTGCTCGCCCCATGCACACTTCCCACCTGCTTGCCCCATGCACACCTCCCAGCTGCTCGCCCATGGCATGGCAGTGCGCACCTCCCAGCTGTTGGGGTTGAGCCAGATGTTGTCGACGCGGTCAAAGCTCGGCAGCAGCGCCGCCAGCACGCCCCTCCCTGCTGCCCACACCGCATGCGGAAGCTTCTCAGCACGATCCCACTGTGAGGGCAGAGGGCGGGTGTTGGAAAGACATGGAAGAGCAAGTAGGAGGGAGGGGGGAAGGGTGGGGTGACAAGTGGAGAAATGAAGGGGAGGTGCGACTTGAGGCAAGATTGGGAGGTGCCAAGCTTGGTTGCAGGCGCAATGACAAGTGGGGGAGCAGGTGCAGTGACAAGTGGGGGAGCAGGTGCAGCGGCACGGTGAGTGGAAAGATGCGAAAGGAGCGAGGGGCATTGGTGGCGATGCAGGGCAAGTGAGGAGGGAGGGGAGGGCAGGATGGAGGGGCACCTTGGCGGTGTCGGGGAGGGTGAGGTCCATGCCGAGGTCGGTGAGCGAGGAGAAGTCAATGTCGGGCAGCACTCGCTGCACATCCCCCGGAGTCAGCTCCAGCCCCAGCCGCTCCACCACTCCGCTCTCCCACCGCTGCAGCAGTGGCACGCGCCGCAGCAGCGCCGGCACCACCCAGTGGTACAGCTGCCAGGGCAGGGGGGCACAGCAGGTGCACGGCACAGGAGGGAGTCATGTCATGGCGTGAGCACACACAAGAGCCCATCCCACATTCTCCGTATCCCTCTACACATCACCTTGACCTCCACGGTACCTGCCGAGCCGTGGTCTCACCTCCAGCATGCTGAGAGTGCCTCACCTCCAGCATGCTGAGAGTGCCTCACCTCCAGCATGCTGAGAGTGCCTCACCTCCAGCATGCTGAGAGTGCCTCACCTCCAGCATGCTGAGAGTGCCTCACCTCCAGCATGCTGAGAGTGTCTCACCTCCAGCATGCTGAGAGTGCCTCACCTCCAGCATGCTGAGAGTGCCCGCCAGTTCGTCCTCATCTCGGAACTTGTCGGTGCCGGCGGCCAGCAGGATGCGGCGCGGCATGCCCCTCAGGTCCGTCGGCTTCAGGCCCCCCGTCTGCTCCGCCACCTGCGCTCACACATGCCATGCGTGCCGCATGGGGTGGCATCAGTGGGATGACATGGCCTTGGGTGGAATGACATGGCATTACATGGCATGGTGTGGTATGTCACCGTCATGAAGTATGGCATCCCATGCTTTGATATGGTATGATTCTATGTGATATTATGGCATAAGCTCTGAGCTATAAGCAAGTAGAGGCATGGAATGACATGGCATGGCATGGCATGGCATAAGATGGTATGGATGGCACGGCATGGCAGGGCAGGGAGAGGGTCTCACGAAGCGCCAGTCAACGGCGTCAACAAATCGCTGGTCCATGGAGGCGGCGGCGGCGCGGCGCAGAATCTTCTCCCTCTCGCCCGCCGTCGGCAGCGGCACCTCTATCACTCGGTCCATTCGCCCCGGCCTCCGCAGCGCTGGGTCCACCTGGGGGGGGGAGGAGAGTGGGGGGAAAGGGGCATGGGGGAGGGCGGGATGGGTGAGCCGACAAGGGCAGTCATGGCTGTTGGGAGAAGGCCAGCGCAGCGAACATGCATGTGCCATGTGCGCCCCATGTTGCCACGGGCCACACTCACGGCCCTTGAGTGGCCGCTGTACCAGCACCAGCCCTCCCGTCCTCCACCCTCCTCCACTAGCACTCACAGCTTCTCCCCTGCTCTGCTACACTCTCAGCTGCTACCTTGCTCTGATTCACTCTCAGCTGCTACCTTCCACTGATACACTCACAGCAGCTGGATTGTCAGTGATTGCCAGCAGCACCACCCCCTCCTGTGTCTCAAACCTGCAACCCAAGCAAAGCACGGGGAGCAAGGCGAGCACGAGGCGTGAGAGCAGTACAAGGCGAGGCTCGAATGACAACATGGAGCAGAGGGGAGCGAAAGCAACAGGAGGATAGTAGGGTGCATTGGACAGCAAGAAAATGCGAGTGCAGTTCACATGAGGTTATGGACGCAGAGAGGCAAAGGCGAGGGAAGCGGCGAGCGCGGGAGGGGGCGGGTGCGGCAAGGAGGGGGACAGGGAGGCGGACCCGTCGAGCTCAACGAGCAGCTGGTTGATGATGGCCTCCTTGTCCTGCAGGCGCGTGTCCATGGCCGCCCCCCGCACCCCGCCTATCTCCTCAAAGTCCTCCATCAGGATCAGCATGGGCGCCTGCCAGTGGTGGTGGCAGTGGGTGTGATGAGAATGAGCATGGGCGCCTGGCAGTGCGTGTAATCTTAACCACCTCACCATCTCAGCATCAAACCACCTCACCATCTCAGAAATTAACCATCTCACCATCTCAGCATCTAACCATCTCAGAAATTAACCATCTCACCATCTCAGCATCTAACCATCTCAGAAATTAACCATCTCACCATCTCAGCATCTAACCATCTCAGAAATTAACCATCTCACCATCTCAGCATCTAACCATCTCAGAAATTAACCATCTCACCATCTAAGCATCTAACCATCTCAAAACTTAACCATCTCACCATCTCCCATACCATCTTGACCACCTCACCACCTCACCACCTCACCACCTCACCACCTCACCACCTCACCACCTCACCACCTCACCATCGGACCAGCTCACCATCTCGCGGGCCATCTTGAAGAGCTCGCGCACGTTGGCAGCGCCCTGCCCCACGAACCCCCCCGGGTCCACATCGCCGGACTTGATGTCCACCACCGGCACCCTCGCCTCCGCCGCTATCGCCAGCGCCAAACTGCTCTTGCCCACTCCCGAACCCCCCGTTATCAGCACGCCCTGCCACGCACGTATGGTGGGGGAGGTGGGAGGAGGGAGGCGGGACAGGAGGGGTTGTGTGGCAGCAGCAGGAGGGAAGACAAAGGTGAGAGGAAGCGAGGCAAGCAGGGTGTGTACGGCACAAGGCAGCAAGACAGGGCGTGGCTCACCCGGGGCAACGTGGCTCACCCGGGGCAACGTGGCTCACCCGGGGCAACGTGGCTCACCCGGGGCAACGTGGCTCACCCGGGGCGGGCGGGCGCCGAGGCGTTGGAAGGAGGAGGGGTCGCGCAGGAAGGTGATCACCTCCTGCACCTCCTCCTTCACCGCATCCATCCCCGCGAAATCGCTCAGCCGCACCGCCGGCCTCCGCACTCGCTGCCCACACGCACCGTGGGGGGGAGGGATCGGAAAGGAACAGATGGGATGGGATGAAGGTGAGAAATGAACACATGAAAAGGAAATGGCAGTTTGAAGAGGGGGTGTGGGGAAAGACGCAAAAGAGGGCTGGCATTGCACGGAGCAAGGTGAGGGGGGGCAGTGGAGGTGCGGGGCAGGGGGTACCTTCATGCGGTCGAAGGCCTCTCGGATGGAGTCCTTGACCTTCTTCTCCTTCTTCGCCTTCTCCTCGTCCTCCTCCTGCTTGCCCACGCGCCGCAGCAGCTCCTTGCCCAGCCGCGTCTTGTACGCCGTCTCACTCTCCGGCCCCGGCGCACCCACCAGCAGGCGCTGCGCCAGGGCAGCAGCGGGGAGGGCGGCCCAGCGCAGGGGGAAGAGCGCGACAGCGGCCTTGGCGGGCAGCACCAGCCACCACGCCCACCTGCCCGCCATGCTGCTGCGCTTGGCAAAGCGCCTCTCAGCGGCGGCCAGCCACCCCATGCGCTCCAGTGCCACCACGTCGCCCGCCGCTGCGCCCTCCGAGTAGTCCAGCTTCAGCAGCGCCTTGAGCGGCCGTGGCATGGCAGGCCACACGAAGCGGAAGAACGTCTCCTCCGCTGCCTCGCCCGCCGTGCCCACGTACCACTGCAGCGCCACCTGCACCGGCCCTGCTGACGACAGCGAGTGCGCCGCGTGCCCCACCACACGCGCCGGCAGCGCGTAGAGCGAGGCCGGGTCCCACTCCCTCACCGGCACCCACATCACCTCCACCCGCGTCGGCACTCCCGCCGCCCGCAGGCGCAGCAGCAGCTCGTCGGTGCCGCCAGTGGCGTGGCGCCAGCTGTCCCAAGCAGAGAGGTCGACGAAGAAGAGGCGCGGGTCGGCCTTGAGGCGCAGCAGGGCGGCACGGCGGTCGTGGCGCAGCGACATGGAGGAGAGCAGCGAGTGCGACAGCGCCTCCCACAGCCCCGCTGCTGTCAGCTCCCACCGCCCCGCTGCTGTCAGCTCCCACCGCCCCTCGGGGCCCGCGCCCAGCAGCGGCGAGGTGACGCCCATGTTGAGCGTAGCCTCCCCCATCACCCGGTCGCGCGCTGCCAGCACCTCCGCCTGCACGCGCGTGACGCATTGGGGAGCATGGCGTTGGGCGCAGGGCAGGGAGGAAATGAGAAAGGAAGATTTGCGAGAGGGCGTGCATGCAGCTATCCGCCCATGCAGCATTCAGCGAGCAACAAAGCAGCAAGAAGCAGGGAGCAGGGAGCAGGGAGCAGGGAGCAGGGAGCAGGGAGCAGGGAGCAGCGGGCAGCGGGCAGCGGGCAGCGAGCAGAGGGCAGCACGGACCTGCTTCTCAGCTGCAAACGCCTTGGCCTTGCCTCGGCTGCTCACAATCTGCTTCTTTGCCGCCGCCCGTTGTTCCGCCGCCCACTTGTGCCACGCCAGCACCTGAGCGTCCGCTGCTGCCTCCTCCGCTGCACTCAGTGCCTTCACGCCCCCTGCCCCTTCTGGCCCTGCCTGCTCCGCCCCCTGCCCTGCATCACCACCAGCAGCAGCGGCAGTGGGGGCGGCGGGGTCTCCACCCCCCACGGCGCGTCTGAGCGACCGGAGCAGCACGGCAGGCACCCGGCCGGGGTGGTCAAGGCACTCGCGCACGTCCCTGCCCGCCACCGCCATCGCACCCCCCATCGCCGCCACTCCCCTCCCCGCTTCCCCCTCGCGGACCTCCCCGTCCGCGCTCGCGCCCCCTGCCACCTCCCCATGCACCCTCCTCTTCGCCTCCCCCAGTGCCTCCCACATGCGCGCCAGCCGCCCCTCCGCCTGCTGTCCCACTGCCACCACTGCTGCCGCCGCCTCGTCAGCGCGCCGCTGCGCCGCCTCCACGGCCCGCCTGCACGTGCGCACACTGCCCGCCGCCTCGTCTCCCCCTGCCCCTGCCGCACCCTTCCCCTTCCTCCCCTTCGCCTTGCCCCCTGCCCGACTCCCCTTACCTGCCGCCCCTTCTTCGCTCTTCCCTGCCTCTTCCCCGCCTTCCTCCTCCCGCCCCTTGCTCTCCGCCGCTTCCCCTTCCGCGACTCTCTCCCGCGCGCGCTCCAGCGCTTCTTCTCTCTCCGCCAGCGCCATGCGCGCGCCCACCAGCTCGTCCAGCAGCCGCGCCTGCCGCGCCTCGCTCTCCCGCATGCTCCGCGCCCACTCCGCCTGGTACGCGCGCTCAACCGCGCCCACCTCCTCCGCCGTCACCGCAGCCGCCGCTGTCCTCTGGAATGCCTCGAGCCTCTCCTCCGCCCGCCGGCTCCCCGCGTCTGCCTCCCCCAACGTCCCCACGTCCCCCGCTTGTCCGCCTCCTGCTGCTTCCCACCCCCCCACAGCACTCTTGCTCCCCCGCGCTGAGGATGTTCCACCCTCCGCGCGCTTTTCCTTCCGCCGCCCCGCAGCCTTGATTCGTGCCTCGCGCCTCCCGCTACTCGTCTCCGCCACAGTCGCCGCAGTCCCCGCGGGGGGTGCTAGCGCGAGGGCCGGCGGGCGAGTCGCGAAGGGCGCGAGGGCGAGGAGGAGAGCGAGAGCCGCGGATGCGGGGGGGGAGGCAAGGGCCCGCGGGACAAGGACGTTGTGGGAAGCAGCAGGCGGAGATGGCGCGCCATGGGGAGCGGGCGACTCGCACTGCTCCTGCGCCTGTGAGCGTGATGGTGAAACGCCACTCGCGCTTTGCCGCACCCAGTCCCTCTCAATGTCTGGCTCTATCGATCCGTCCGCTGCTCTACTCGTCCCCCCACCATCGCCGCTATACGCGCAAAATACTCGATTCTCTCCTTTGCTGCTAATGCCGACGTAAGCCCGCCTAAACCCCCGCCTATCCGAGAAAGGACCGTGCGGGCGCGGGATGGCGCGGCCTGCGCCGGAGAGAAGCCCGCGGGCGGCGGAGTCAGGCGGTGGCGCGCCGAGCAGAAAGGCGGGACGGCGAGCGAGGAGGGCTTGCACGCCAGCCATGGCGGGGAGTGGAGGCACGGGACCAACAGCCCGCGGAGATGATTTTGCAATGCTTGAATTGAACAGTCAACCTATCATGCCGTCACACAAACATACCCCCTCCCCAAAAAGGAAAAATGATTCTTTCGGGACACAAAACATAGCTTGGAGACGCGGGGTATCGATCCCCGTTTGTCTTGCCCTTGGCCATTGGCCAGCGCAAACATGGCGGCGCTGATGTACGGCTGCGATCTGTCACACGACGAGCAATGGGGCCATCTCGCGTCCGACCCCTACCTGCGATTCACTGCCTCCTCGGTACGCCGCACGCCCCTGGTGGGCGGGGAGCGACGCAGTGCATGACAGGGCGGGTGCTGGGCATGCCGCAGGGCGCTCGCTGCTCCGCACAGCCCCCCTCCACGCGCGCTTGTCCCAGCGTCCCCCTCTCGTCTCACCTTCGCCGTCTTTCCCTCGCCCTCTCCTTCTCATGCCCTCGCCGCCTCTCAGGTTCCCCCCCGCGCCTTCCATGTGTTCCCCCCGCGCTTCCCATGTGTTCCCCCCGCGCGCACGTGCCCCCGCAGGTGCCGCGGGAGCGCAAGGTCGCCAACGTGCAGAGCCTCGGCTTCGGCGCGCTCTTCGCGCCCACCCCTCCGCTCCCCGCCTCCGCCGCTTCCCCGCTCCTCTCACCCTCCGCTTCCACCCTCCCCTCCCCCACCTCCGCCGCTCCCGCTTCCTCCCAACCGCCCCCTGTGGTGCGCCATGCGCCGCTGCGCTGCGCCTTCTGCGGGGCGTGCGTGTGCCTCTACTCCGCCATCGCGCCCGCCACGGGCGACTGGCGCTGCGCGCTGTGCGGGCGCCCCAACATGAGCGGCGGGCACTACCTGCTGGCGGAGGGGGAGACGCTCGAGGGCTGGCCGGAGCTGGGCGCGCGCGTGGTGGACTACGTTGAGGCGGGCGGGGGGGCGCGCGGGGCGGGGGAGGGGGGAGTGGGGGGAAGCGCGTCGGAGGCGGTGCTGGGGGCGCCGGTGGTGGTGGTGGTGGACGAGGGGCTGGACGCCGCGTGCATGGCGGGGGTGAGAGCCGCGCTCACGGTGAGTGCATGGCACACAGCACAGGACGGGTCACGATGATTCAATGGCGGCTCACTGTGACTGCAGACAACAACCCATCCTCATTGCCTCCTCGTCCCCCCCCTCACTTCTTCCTTCCCCATGCCTCCCCCAACACCCCCATGGCGCCCCATGGCAGGCCATGCTGCAGCACCTGCCATCCGCCACGCGCATCGCCATCATCACCTTCGGCGCGTCCCTCTCACTCTTCGACCTCTCGCCCTCCGCCTCACCGCTGCTCGCCTCCGCCGACTGCTTCCCCGCCACGCACGCGCTGCCCGCCGCCACGTTGGCCGCGCTGCTGCTGGGGCGCGCGCAGCACCTCGCGCCCATCGCGGCCTGCCTGCCCTCGGCGCAGGCCGTCATCGCCTCGCTGCGCCCCTGCCGCGCCGCCACGGCCCCCCTCGCCCGCGCGCGCGCCCTGGGCCCCGCCGTGGAGCTCGCGCTCGCGCTGCTGCGCGGCCCCGCGCCCGCCCTGCCGCGCGCCCACCAGCGGCGCTGGAGCGGGGCAGCGCGCGTGGTGGTGCTGTGCGGGGGGCCGGCCACGGTGGGCGCGGGGGCGGTGGCAGAGGGCATAGAGGGCGTGGGGGAGGGCGAGGAGCGGCAGCGCGAGCAGGCGGCGCGGCGGCACTACGAGGCGCTGGGCAGGGAGGCGAGGCGCATGGGCGCCGTGGTGGACGTGTTCTCGGGGGGCCCACTGCTCGTGCGCGTGCCGGCACTGCTGCCCCTGGCGGCGCTGTCAGGGGGCGCGCTGGTGCCGCTGGACGAGTTCAGCCCCGCCGCGTTCCCCCCCCTGCTGCTGCGCGCCCTCTCCCGCATCGTGGGCGCTGAGGGGTCGCTGGAGGTGCGCTGCTCGCCCGAGGTGGCCGTCACACGCGTGATCGGCCCTGCAGAGGCGGAGGAGGGTGGCGGGCGCAGGGGGGCGGGCGGGGAGGAGGGGTTCCCGGAGGACAGTGCGACGGCGGTGGCGCTGCTGAGTGTGGACGAGGAGGCGGCGGTGGCAGTGAGCATGGAGCTGGTAGACGACCTCACCCGCCACCACGTGTTCTTCCAGTTCCTCTGCCGCTTCCGCCTCCTCAACCACGACCGTGAGTGCCGCCTGCTGCCAGCCTGAGGGTGCGCCCACCACTCCTTGCCACCACCTGCTGCTCGTTGTCACGGCCACGTGCTCATCCCAGCCGCAGTGCACTTCTCTGCTCCTTCCTCTATTTCTGCCATGCACCCACCCACCCACTCAACGCCCTCACGCATGCGCGCTCATGCACATATGCACACACGCCCATCACCCCGCCCGCACCCCCCCCCCCTCCCCATTCATGCAGTGGTGACGCGGGTGGTGACAGTGCGTCTACCAGTGGCGGCATCGCTACCAGCGTACCTGGCATCGGTGCACGAGCCCACAGCAGCGCTGCTCATCGCCAAGCGCACTGTGCTGGCGGCGCCCACGGCTCGCGAGGCGGGGGAGATGCGCGCGTGGGTGGACGCCCGTGCGCGTGACCTGGCGCTCAAGCTGGGCGGCGTGGCGCAGCACAACCGCTCCCTGCTGCAGTTCCCCCACCAGCTGCCCCGGTGAGTTGACCGGGGGAGAGGGGGTAGGGGCAGGTGTGGAGCCTGGAGGTAAGGTAAAGAAGCAGTGCGAGGGTGTTGGGTTGCAGGGCCGGTGGGTGAGCAGTGCACAGAAGAAGCCCCACCCGCCTCGGCCTTCCATTGCATCTCTCTCCTGTCTTCTCCCCTCTTCCCCATCCCTCCCCTCCCCACTGCACTGCAGGATAGCGGAGGCGCTGTACGAGGTGAGGCGCAGCCCGGTGTTGGGGCGCCACGTGGCGGGCGAGTGGGAGCGCCAGGCGCTGCGCGCACTGCTGCTGCGCGCAGGGGGGGAGGCGGCGCTGCGCATGGTGCTGCCCTCGCTGCTCATGTTCCGCGCCGGCCACGCCACCCAGTTTGTTGAAGTGCCGCCCTCTGACCTGGCGCTGACGTCAGATGCCGCCCTGGTGCTGGACCATGGCACCGACATGCTCATCTGGCTCGTGAGTGCCGCCCTCTGACCCGCTCCCTGCTGCTCATGAGTGCCGCTGCCCCTCCCTCGCTTCCCCCTTGTCTCCTTTCCCCCCCTCACCAACATGCACAGCCCTTGACTGTCAGCCCTCTCCCACCCTCGACCACACACCATTTGCCCAATGCCCCTCCCCCCCCCCCCCCTCCTCCCCCCAGGGCGCGCACCTGGCACCGGACGAGCCCACCAGGCGGGGAGTGGAGGCGGCGTGCCGCCAGCTGGCAGCGCAGCTCATGGGCGGGCCGGGCGGCAGAGGCAGATTCCCGGCTCCTCGCGTGCTCTGCTTCACTGTCAGTGCCAAAGGGGGGGAGAGGGTTAGGAGGGGGTGCTGGGAGGTGATCTATGTGTGTGTGCTCGCCTGTGCGCCCATCTTCAGTTCCGCATCCTCGCCCTGCACTCCCCGCTCACCGCGCCCTGTGCCCTTCCTCCCCCATCGCGGCATGGCAGGAGGGCACGCCGGAAGCGGCCTTCATGACGGCGCGCCTCACTCCCACACACAAGGACCCCCTCGCTGTTCAGGTGGGCACAAGGACCCCCTCGCTGTTCAGGTGGGCACAAGGACCCCCTCGCTGTTCAGGTGGGCACAAGGACCCCCTCGCTGTTCAGGTGGGCACAAGGACCCCCTCGCTGTTCAGGTGGGCACAAGGACCCCCTCGCTGTTCAGGTGGGCACAAGGACCCCCTCACTGTTCAGGTGGGCACAAGGACCCCCTCGCTGTTCAGGTGGGCACAAGGACCCCCTCGCTGTTCAGGTGGGCACAAGGACCCCCTCGCTGTTCAGGTGGGCACAAGGACCCCCTCGCTGTTCAGGTGGGCATGCTTTTCACGTGGGTTATTGTTTTGGTGCTTTTCCCTCATCACGCGAGTTGCACTCTTCAGGTGTGTTGCGCTGAACAAGGGAGTTGCCTGGAAGGCAAGAGAGGTGTGTGCGGCCACAGTGCACGTGGCATGGGGAAGGAGGTCTCGAGTCTGTGGTGCTGCATTCATTGCTCTGCTCCTGCATACCTCCTACTGCCTCTCACAATCCCCACCACTCCTCCCTCTCTATGCGACCTGCTTCTCTCCCCCCTCTACCCGCCAGGAGCTGCTCTTCCCGCCGCTGAGGGAGATGCAGGAGGAGGAGCGGGCGGCGGTGCGGGCCAAGCTGCCGCCCACCCCCGAGCCCGGCTTCACCGACTGGCTGCGCTCGCTGCGCCTCGCGCCTCCCCACCCGCCCCTCGCTGCACCCTCTTAATACCCTCTGGATGCGCTGCCTCGCAACCAGTACCGTACCATGTGTTATTCCCAATAAAAGCCCTCTTGTGCCCGCCATTATGGCTGTAGTGAATGATAGCAAATGCAAAAGCAGCTACGGTAGAGCGTGGTGAATGGAAGCCCAGCCACAGCATGGTGCAGGGAAGGCTTCAATGATGGGAGGGGAAGTTGCATCATGGGATGCGATCTACAGGAGCAGCAGTATCTTGTTTGTAATAGTTCGTTGAATCGAAGCAATCCACTCAAGAAAAACTCTACCTAATCTAGCGTCTTCACCAGAATTTTCTAACTAGAGTAGCAAACTAGCTCCTAGGAGAGTGACGGGCAGATATACTTGGTTGGGAAGCCTAGCATCAGTTACAAATATCGCGTTGGCTGTCGTGTTCGGATGCATGCTGGCAAACAAGGCCTTCATGGGCGCAGCATCATGGGATGCGGTCGAAGGGAGTGGTGTCATGGTAGCACACGTCCCACACCGCATCCACCGCCGCCCGTGCCCGAGCCATGCACGCTGCACTGCTGCTGCCCGAGCTAGTCGCATCACTGCCACTGCTACTGCCACTGGCACTGCTGCCACTGGCGCTGCTGCCGTTGGCGGTGGTGGTGGTGGCGGTGGTGGCAGGGGCAGTGGCAGAGGCAGAGGGGGGTCCAGCATCGGAGCAGAAGGGGTTCATGGCGACTGACAGCTGTGCCTTGCGCCGCACACACTGCTGCTCACAGCAGCAAGAGAGGGGGAGAGCCAACAGAGGGAGAGAAAAGACGAGACGGTTAACGCTTGACAGTACACACAGGACACTCATTGCAAGGAAATTGAAGGAGCAGGCATGAGGGTGAGAGAGAGCAATCAGGTGGCAGCAACCCTCCCTCCCCTCACCGCCCCTTGCCTCACTGCGGCCCACCACCCTGGCCTTTCGACCTGAAGCACCCCCGCGTGGCAGGGTGAGCTCACCGGGTGGCAGGGTCAGCTCACCGAGTGGCAGGGTCAGCTCACCGGGTGGCAGGTGTGGCTCACCGGGTGGCCGTTGCGGAAGACAAAGTCGGGCCCCCTCGTGTTGAACTCGCGGTGCATGTGGCACGCCCCGCTCAGGTTGGCCGCCCGGATCTGATTCTCCCCCATGGACATGCACACACGGGTGGCAGGTGACAACACAGCATAAACATGTGCATGGCGGCATGTGCATGGCGGCATGTGCATGGCAGCATGTGCATGGCGGCATGTGCATGGCGGCATGTGCATGGCGGCATGTGCATGGCGGCATGTGCATGGCGGGCGAGAAAGGAGGTGGGGAAGCAAGGGGCAGGAGGGGGAGGGCAGGGCGTGCACCTCACTGCAGGCGTGGTGGCGCAGATCAGGCCATTGCAGGTTCTTTGCGCGGCAGTGGTCGAGGGCGTGCACGAGCTCGTGCGCCACCACCACGTTCACCTCGTCCTGCCGCCCCACGTGGTTCGCACACACCACCACCTGCCGTTCCCCGCACCCGCATGCACCCATGCACCCACGCCGCGCACACACAGGTGTGGCATGGGTGGTATCACACAGGATCACATGAGCACGCATGGCATGGGCTGGCACTGTGACGCAGCATGGCAGCAGGCAGGATGGCACGTCAACCTTGCCCCACTGACGCAGCATGGCAGCAGGCAGGATGGCACGTCAACCTTGCCCCACTGACGCAGCATGGCAGCAGGCAGGATGGCACGTCAACCTTGCCCCACTGACGCAAGTCTTCATCCTTGCCTCTACCCATCCCCCCAGCCCTTCACGCCCCTCGCTCCCCCATCACACTTGCCCCTCCCACTCCCCCTTCTTCCCATTTCCCCTCTTCTTTCTTCCCCCCTCCCCCCTCCCTCCCAGGGCTCACCCCCTCGCCGGGCATGAAGCCGCCGCCCGCCTGCTCGTCGCATCGGCGCGCGGAGAAGAACTCATCGCTCACGACGCACCCGGCGCGCTCCAGCGACTCGCGGAGGAATCGGACCGTCGGATCTGGACGAGGGGCGTGGGGAAAGGCCAGTGGAGCGGTCGGGATGGGGGGACGCGGAGGGCGTTTGCTGAAAGGAAAGCGAGTGGTGCGTGCGCGTGCATGGGCATGGGCATGTGCATGTGGGGGTGAAAAGCTCGAGCGGGATGAGCGGGACGAACGGGACGGAGGTCGGAGGAAGGGCGGGCGATGGGACAGAAGGCGGCAGTGCAAAAAGGTGACAAGGCGAGAGGGCAAAAGCGCCACAAGGTGGCAAGGTGGCAAGGCGCAGGGGCAGCAGAGCGGCGACACTCAACTCCATCGCAGGCATCGCTTCAGCATGCGCTCGCCTGCCGCCACAGAAGCATCGCTGCTACGCGTCTGATCAGCCATACGATGAAACAAGGCCAGACAATGCTTGTCGCGATTCAACATTAACGGAAATTTTAAATACGGGGCAATTAGGCAGCAGCGCCTGTAACTCAGTGGATAGAGTGTTCGCTTCCTAAGCGAGAGGTCCAAGGTTCGACCCCTTGCTGGCGCGAGACGTTTGTCGTTTTACCGTCCGTCTTGATTGACGCCATTACACGATTCTTTTTCTACAAAAATTCACTTGGTGCTGTGTCATCTGAGGGGGTGTTACATGTGCGGCAGAACTACTCTGGGCCGCGCTGGGCCGCTGCGGCCCAGGGGGATTTGCGCGGACCAGCGCGGACCAGCGTGGACCAGCTGTTTGGACCAGCAAACGGCCCAGGTGGTGACCCAGGTAGCTCCCCCCACGGATCAGCATGTACAGTGGTCGGTGCACGTGCAGGATTTGGGGGACTACTTCCAACAGTCGACCCCAATTCGCGGCCCAGACACTCGCGAAAACTTCACGTCGCCCCATTTCGCTAGCACAAGCTGACAATTTCGCGATTAGGGCCGTCGCGAAATGTAGTTCGCGTGTGACTAGGTGCGACTTTGTTTTCGTCCACCTTGCTTTTGCGAAACTGTAAAACACTGTGCTGTTGGGGTCGGCTGCAAATGGTGCCCGGGACCACGCGGGTACCAGGCAGGGACCACTTTCGCAAGTGATCCCTGTAAACTGGTGCTCCCTTGTCTAAGCTGGTCCATTTTCTGTAAATGGACCAGCGCGCAATGTAACACCCCCTGACCTCTGCTCTGCCATTTTGAAACCAATGCCTTCAAAGATTTCACTTGGTTGTGTTCAGTGGACGTCCTAGGAATGCCCTGAAGTGGCCCACCATGGGCACACCCTGCAATGTACATTGCCATGCAGTTTTCTTCCAGCTTTGCCATGCAGTTTTCTTCCAGCTGCAGGCAGTTGTGGTCAAGTGTGTGGTTCATCCACTGGTGTTTTGATACTGATGAATGGCAACATCAGAATGACAACACTGTTACATTACAGGGACACTGTTCCAGGTTCTAAACACCGTGATCTGTGTTCTCTAGCTGGTTGAATGGCCTAGAGCGTGAGGGGCACTTGTGACGAGTAGGGGGTGGATGCAGCGGCCTTGTTCTTGGGCTTCTCCACCACAATGGCCTGTGTCGTCAGCACCATGCCCGCCACTGACGCCGCGTTCTGCATCGCACACCGCGTCACCTTGGCGGGGTCGATCACACCTGCACGCATGGGAGAGGGGAGGGAGGGAGGGTGGAGGGCAGATGAGTGGCGAGCAGCGCAACACGGATGCTCATATAAGTGCAGAGCACAGAGAACAGGTCCGAGTCAAACGAGCAGGGAGCGGCATGGCAAGCACAAAGTGGCTAGAGCGAGCAGAGAGTTGCACGGGGCAAGGGGTGAGCAGGGAGAGGAGCACGGACCGGAGGCGAGGAGGTCTTCATACTGGTCGGTCATCGCGTTGTACCCCATCTCCCACTCGCTCTCCCGCACGCGCTCCACCACCACCGCGCCCTCCACACCCGCGTTGTGGGCGATCAGCGAGCACGGCGCCAGCAGCGCGCGCTCCACGATGTCAGCGCCGATGCGCTCCTCGGCGTCGGTGAGCTGCGCCTTGAAGGCCGGCACGAGCGCTGCCAGGTGCACCATGGTGGCGCCGCCGCCCGGCACGATGCCCTCCTCGATGGCGGCGAAGGTGGCGTTCTTGGCGTCCTCGATGCGCAGCTTGCGGTCCTCCAGCTCCGTCTCCGTTGCCGCCCCCACCTGTGTGCCACCACAAGGGGCGCGAGCACAGGGCATGCCGTGTGAGTGGTAACTCGTGTGCCTAAAAGTGGATAGTGTGAACCTGCAATTCTCATGAGCTATGTATCCCCAACCCCGCCACAGCACCAGCACCCAGCAAGCAGCAGGCAGCAGGCATGGCACGGACCTTGATGACAGCGACACCACCAGCGAGCTTGGCAATGCGCTCGGAGAGCTTCTCGGTGTCGTAGACGCTGTCCGTGTCCTGCAGCTCGCGCTTGATCTGCGCCACGCGTGCCGCGATCTCGTCCTTGGTGGCGCTGTCAGCGATGAGCGTCGTGCTGCTGCTGCTGATCGTCACCTTCCTCGCCACTCCCAGCTGGTCCGCCGTCGCTTCCTCCACCTTCAGGCCCAAGTCAGAGGCCATGAACTCCGCTCCTGCCAGAGGAGATACATGGGGAGGGGATGAGGGAGCAGAGGGATGGGGCGCCAGGTGAGCGCATGCACACACCCGTGCGGACACACACACACATGAGCGCGCGCACAGAAGTGCAATCCACCCCCCTCTCCCCCCTCCTCCCCACACACACACACACAAATACACACAGGCATGCAAACACAATTGCTTTGTCCATTTTCTTGGGTATTGCACTAAGCCATGCCCTGTCCTGCCCCCCCCCCTCACCTGTGACAATGGCGATATCCTGCAGCAGCGCCTTGCGGCGTTCACCGAAGCCGGGCGCCTTGATGGCGGCGACCTGCAGCACGCCGCGCAGCTTGTTCACCACCAGCGTCGCCAGCGCCTCGCCCGACACGTCCTCCGCGATGATCAGCAGCGGCGCCGACAGCTGCGACGTGCGCTCCAGCACCGGGATTATGTCCTTGATCGCCGTGATCTGCGCCCAAGGGGGGGGGGGGGGGGGGGGGGGGGGGAAGGAAGGGGCGGGGAGAGGGGGGGCGGGGGGGTTGTTAGCAGCGGCGCCGACAGCTGCGACGTGCGCTCCATCACCGGAATGATGTCCTTGATCGCCGTCATGCACGCACCCCAGGGGGAGAGGGAAGGGAGGGGAGGTGGGGAGAGGGGAGTGAGTGCGTCAGCGAGCATTCGTGAGTGCAACTGGGCGCTGAGCGTGTGAGTGGCGAGGAGCGCGTGTGAGCCATGGGGAGTGCGGAGCACGAGCGCGATGGGGAAGGCGGGCCACATGGAGGGGAGGGAAATTCTTAGACACCACTAGCCTAGTGCTTATCGTGTTCTTCCAGTCTCACGATACGAACCACTGCGACAGCGGGCGCACTGACCTTCTGGTCCGTGACGAGCACGCGCGCGTTGTCGAACTCAACGAGCATCTTCTCCGTGTTCGTCGCGAACTGCGGCGAAATGTAACCGCGGTCGATCTGCGCGGAGTGTGGGGAGGAGGAGAGCGCGCCGAGGAGTTGGGGAGCAAAGTGGGCGAGGGGGAATGAGTGGGAGGAGCGGGATGTGAAGCGGGTGGAAGGCGGGACCCGAGGGGAGCGGATGAGCTAAAAGAGCTGCGCTCAGCACGTGAAGCGCACGCAGAGGGGGCAAGAAGTACGTGCGTGGGGAAGCAGCGCGACTCACCGCCATGCCCTCCTCGACGTCGACGGTGGTTTCGAAGGACGAGGAGCTTTCGATGGAGAGCACGCCGTCCGCGCCCACCTTGTCCACCGCGTCCGCTATCATCTCGCCGATCTCCTCGTCGTTGCCCGCGCTGATCGTCGCCACCGCTGCACCAACGGGAGGGTACGGCACGGGCAAGATGACGGCGCGGGGGGGTGGAAGGTGGGGCGGGGAGGGAGGGGTGCGAGGGGAGGCAGTGAGATTGAGATGCTTCGAGTCTCGCAGTCAGACACGGACGCCTCGTAACATTTGATCGGCCAAATACGGAACTCATGGTTTTAGAGAAGAATCGCCAGAGCCCCAAGCCACGCACCCTTGATATCGTCGCGGCCCTTGACGGGGCGCGCGCGGTCCTTGAGCGCGACGACGAGGTGCGCAACGGTCTTGTCGATGCCCTTCTTGAGCGCCACGGGGTTGGCGCCCGCCGTCACGTTGAGCAGCCCCAGGTTGATCAGCGCGCGCGCCAACACGCTCGCCGTCGTCGTGCCGTCGCCCGCCGAGTCGTTCGTGCGCGACGCCACCTGGCGGGCGGATGTGATAGTAACGGGGGGATGTTTTAGCGGGGAGTGCGATGGCGTGCGATTCGAGCGGCAATATGCTGCAAGGCTGCAAGGCTGGCTAGGGGACGAATGCTGGAACACAATCCCCAGAACCCTGGTTGTTTTATCCTTTTACCCTAAACCTGCTATCTCCGGGCATCTCTCACCTCGCGGATGAGGGCGGCGCCGGCGTTCTCCATGGGGTCGGGCAGCTCGATGGCCCTGGCGATGGTGACGCCGTCGTTGATCACCTTGGGCGCGCCAAACTCGTCCAGCACCACATTGCGACCTGCGCCCACACGAGGAGAACATGCTCATTGCCTCAATCCACGCGCTGCCAATACTGGCGGCTGACAGAATGGATGGTGTGACACTTGGGCGATGGTGCCACCAACTGTTTCGTGTGAAACGATTGCTGATCGGACGACGATTGCTGGTCATATGAAAAAATCCTGGTCGTGCGAGAGATTCCTGGTCGTACGAGAGATTCTTGGTCGTACGAGAGATTTCTGATCGTACGAGGAATTCCTAATTGTACGAGAATTCCTGGTCGTACAAGCTAACGTTCGATATGTTGACCGATCGTACAGCAGATTGACTGATCGTACAGTATATTGGCTCATCGTACGATGGATTGGCTTATCATACGGTAGATTGGCTGATCGTATAATATGTAGGCTGATTGTACGACGGAGCGGCTGATGGGACCGTCGGCCGACAACACGACCGACGACTCGCCGGGCGACAGTTCGTGACCCGACACAACTGGCGAACTCCTAGTGCCGGCGAGCATGGCGGCCGCGACACAGGCAAGTTGTGATTCGCGAGCCGCGGAGCGAGCTTATCAGCGTACCTCGCGGGCCGAGCGTGACGCCCACGGCGTCCGCGAGCTTGTCGATGCCGGACTGCATGGCGGACCGCGCCGCCTGGTCGAACAGAATGTCCTTCGCCTCCGTGCGCACCCGCAGCGACCGCCGAGTGCGCGCCGTGACGGGCGAACGGGCGAAAGACGCAGCCAGTTGGCGACTGCCTGGCGCTAGAGCCGCCGCTTTGCTAATCTGCACGTGGA